TGGTTTGTTCAGCAGGTGTTCTTTTTTCAAATGTCAAACCGTCACAGCATGAATAAAGTACAAGTTATTATGTCCAGTCAGCAACTCTCCACTAGTGTTTTAGTTCTCACTAATTTAAATACCTGCAAAACAGAGTCTTCTTGTTTTACAATCAGCTCTTTACAACTCAAAATAGGAGACAGCTAAAAAGCAACGTACCCTATTCCAAAAGAACAGTGCAATATAATCCCTGCACAAAACTCCCCCCTACACTGAGGCTGGACCACAGGAGCCTCTTCAGATGTTTTCCTTCAGTCTCGAGTCCTGCTCCGTAAAGGGCAGGAGCCAAATCTCTTAATTACCTCATGCAACCTTGGCAATTCTTCCCTTGCTTTGTGGTACTCAACCACACACTCCAGGCAGTAACAAAGATCATCATTGGATCCTTCAAGATCTTCTGGGGACAACCGTTTGGAAGCATAGCTCTTCAGGAACGCGGTGGTGTCAGAGCCACTTGGTGTGCACCATCGACATGTGCTCATTCTTTGGATGGAGAGAAGGAGGAATTAACAGAAGTCCAGAGACTGAAAGCAGCAACGCATCTTCTTTCAGCCACGATAATACCTAATTTTCAAGTGTGATGAGTTTCAGGATTTATGTAACTCATTAGCAGTGTACATGCATATGTTCTTGGTTGTTCTTGTATCACATAGGCATATGCAATCAAGGAAATACAGATTAAAACATTAAATGAGCATTACAGAAAAATGCCTGCTGAATGACAATTATTAAAAGTAAAGCACTGAAAAGAAATCAAATTATATATTTCCAAACTATGAGACAACGTGAAAATTTCACATACAGAAAACCACCTCATCCACACTTAACACACACTTTCCAGAACTACAATGCTAAAGTTCATTACATTGCTTTATAGTATCTGTGAAATCTAGGTCTAATAAGTACAAAAATTAATTAGTTTTTTCTTAGCCCGGTGCTAACATTTATAGGTCAACAAATCCCTGCTGTCAAAATGAAAGGATAGTTATGCAGAACTTTCCTGTCTTCATTGTTATTATAGTCAGAAAGCATCACAAAATCCTTCCTCTAAAAATAAAAGTTCTTCGCTAAGCAGCAATACAGTCCTCAGACCCTGCTAGTCTGAAAAACTCAGAGTGCTAGAAAAGCAGTGACTTGAACTGACTATATAAAAGGTACAACCGACTGCAAATGCTTCTGCTATTTCCTGTAACAAGGAATGCAAACGGATAATCTAGATAAAGCAAAACCATGCATTCCCTCATACAAACATAATGGGAAAAGAAACCAATCGCGGTGTTTACCTTTGGGAAATGAAGCTGTTTGCCACGTGGGGGTGCCAGGTCACATGGTGGGGAAGAGCAGGGCGCTGCCCTGCAGCTGAGGAAGGGGGCCCACACCTTCGGCCATCCGCGCCCACAGCATAGCAGCCCCCTCAATAACCCATGCCCTGGGAACACGGGCCTGAGGGTGCTTCACACACCTGGAGCAAAACAATCATCACAAGTCGGTTCAGTTCACACTTCGTAGAAAAAGGATTGTTTTGGTATTTAGATTAACACACTTCGTATTAAACGCGTCTTTACTGAAGTGATAAGTATGATTTGCAATTGAATCCCTTCTGTCACTCAAACGCGGACAACACACAACAACAATCCTCAGCAACACCTATCGCACCTTTTTCTAAACATAAGCGTTAATGTTTATCTACGTACACTGAGCAAGGGAACTGCTTAAAGAAGCGCACAAGGATACACAAACCTCAGCTGAGAGCAGCACCCCTCACCTGTTAACAGCTGCTCATCGACGAGGACCGACACCTGCGCACAGAAACGCCAGTGCTGCGACACCGCCAGTTGCGGTTTCCCGGGTTAAGCTCAGCCCCTCGCTCAACGTCC